CATTCAAGGGTGGTTGGAAGGTGGGGAGCCGGCAGATCTGTTTTTTGCTTTTTTTATTTTGTAATGTTATGAGTTTCGGCAGCTGTGTGCGGAGCATATGTTTAAACAGGTTGCACTTTACGAAATTACAAAACGTTTTCACTTCCCTGGAAAATCGGAAACAATAGGAAAGGCAATATCTGTGTGCGAACGTTCGTGTGTAATGAAATTTCATTAATTCGTTCCTGGGCCAATGTTAAAACCAAACTACCACCACCATCGAACCACCGCTACCAGCCAGCCACATTAGCAACCACGGTCATTGTTGAAATCAACGACCTCTGTTTTGGTATTTTCTCGCTTCGTTGTTTCCACGAACAAATATTCAGTGTCAGCATTTTTTCGAAAAACTAACTTCTATGCTAATGTTGTTGGAATTTTTCAGGGTGTGAGCCGTGGGGGGTGGTTGGTTTCTAACAAAAATTCTATTACATTAAAGTTTGTTATTTAATTTTTAGAAAAAATTCCTTTAAAGTCGGAAATATTTTAATGTAACAGCATTTTTTATAAACGCGATAAGGAATCTGTTAGGGTGTTTTAAAGAAATACTTTAAATCTTCTGACAATTTCCATCTCATCAGAAAAGCAACAGATTTTCTTATTAGAAGTGCTTCTTCAGTTCTTCTTGTAGAAAGAGCTAATTGAACTAAAAAAATCTTATTAGAAACGCTTTCGGTCTTCTTATTAGAATATCTTAAGAGGATTCTTATTAGAACAGCTTTCGATTTTCATATTAGAAAATGTAAACGTCTTCTTAGAAGAGGAGCTTTCGGGTTTCCTTTTAGAAAACCTTAAGGTATTCTTCTTGGAAGAGTTTAAAGACTTGTTATTAGAAAGCTTAAGATATTCTTTTTAGAAGATTTTAAGAATTTCTTATTACAAAAGCTTGAGCTATTCTTATTAGAAGATTTAAAGGACTTCTTAGAAGAAAAGTTTCAGGTATTCTTATTGGAAGAGTTTAAAAACTTCGTATCAAAAAAATCTTAAGGTAATCTTATTAGAAGATTTTAAGAACTTCTTATTAGAAAATCTTGAGGTATTCTTATTAGAAGAGTTAAGAAAAAATTAAGGTCTTCTAATTAGAAACTAAGAAGGTCTTATTATGAAAGACCTTTGAGACTTCATATTAGAAGAGTTTATCGATCTTCTGATTGGGATAATTTCCGGACGTCTTATTATTAGAAGAGTTTAAGAACTTCTTATCAGAAAATCTTAAGGTATTCTTATTAGAACATTTTAAGAACTTCTTTTCATAAAATCTTAATAAATGCTTATTAGAAGAGTTTAAGGAATTCTTATTAGAAAATCTTAAGGTCTTCTTATTAGAAACTATTAAGTTCTTATTATGAAAGACCTTTGAGACTTCATATTAGAAGAGCTTATGGATCTTCTGATTAGAATAAATTTCTTTCTTATTAAAAGAAGTTTTAGAAGCTTTCTATTAGAAGAACTTATTTCGACCCTATTAGAAGGGTTTAAGGTATTTGGATTAGATAAGCTGTAGGACTTCTTATTAGAAGGACTTTGAGTATACTTATTAGAAAAGCTATTAGTTTACTTTTTGTATTTTCTTATTAGAAAATCTTCAGCCCTTCTTATTAAACGAATTGAATGACATAATATTAGAAGACCTTTAATACATATATTTTTTTGGTTTTTGAAGATACAGAGAACTACTTATAAGATGAGTTTCACAGGACTTCCTATTAGAATAGATTTAGGTCGTCTTATTAGAATAGTTTTTTCGTCAGAAGAGCTTTAGTTCTTTCAATTAAGAAAGTTTCAGGTATTCTTATTAGAAGTATTTTACATCTTCCAATAAGACTTCAAATTAGAAGGCCTTTTGATCTGATAATTAGAAAACAATAGGATTTTTACTAGAAGATAAAGCGGTCTTCTTAAAGGCGACTAATATATTTTCTTATTAGAAGACCAATAAGTCCTTCCTATAGAACATTTAAAATTATATCAATTTTTTCTCTCGTTACCTTTTATTTACAATTCCAGATTTGTTTTCCTCCACTTTCCATTGAATTTTATTCGTTCTCTATTTTTTAATTCTACTATCCTGACGTTAGTAAACATCGCATTAAAAACATGTGTGGCCAAGTACTAAAATTTCTATTCACTTTTGTGGACAATTAAAATCTACTGGAGTTTTTTTTTGCCAAACCACAAAAACAAACCGAGGCGAATAGAAGTCATAAAATATTTCAGAACAAAATGGGGCAACATATTGGAATTATGTGACCACAACAACATCAACGACATCATTCATAAATACAAAAAAAAATAAAATAAACGCAAATGAAACCAAAGATTTAGAACACAAATGTGTTAGAATTATGAAATGTCAATGGTTTCATGCGTGACAAAACACGAACTACAAAAAGAACGTGTAAACAAACACACCCACACAAGGATGTTGGAGTGGTGGTTATTGAGAAAAAAATGTGTTAAAAAAATTGAAGTGGTTATTTGAAACTCCTATTAGTTCGAAAAAAAAAATTATCAGTGATATAATATTGGGTTTCATTTAATGGGCATTTTAAAAATAAAGTGTTTACATGTTTGATATTTTTGTATGATTTTTGGTTTAAATCAGAAAAATATGATAAGCCTTCATGTAAACTATTTTTTTTTTTTTTTTTTGAGATCATATATGAACATAATTAGGAGTAAACTAAACATTTAATTACCCAATATTTTGAAATTTCATTGACAGAAAATCATTATTTTCTTGTCCGAAGTCCATACTAAATGAGGGTAATCTGTTATTTTCCATACCTTGCGTTTTTTTATTTTTGGTGAAAGTTGTTAAGCCAATTTAATTTAATAATTATTTTATTTTTTTCAGATCTCAGTTTAAATAGCAAATTTAACATTCGCTCATACATTTTTTGTATTTTATATAATAACGAAAAATATATTTCAAAAATTTTGATTTTGTCATTTCCATGAATATAGCAAATTACATCGACCCAATTTTTTAATTTTTTTAATAAAAAATATATTTTTTTCTATAATTTAGTTTTTTTGCACTTTCCATAAAAATTACAAGTTATTAGTTCGCTACAAAATACTGTTTTTTAATTGTTTTTATTATTCCTCCCTTTATTTGTTTATTTTTTCATTGAAAATAAGATGCATACTTTTGCCCCCAATTGCCTGAAATATTGTGCGTATTAGCAATTTGTCACGTATACGCTAAGCTTTTTTTTCCATATTGAACTTATTTGCCTATAACTGATATCAGCATGACGCACCAAGAACACACACACTCGTATAACAATTCCTACTTCATGCAAAAAATCGCCATTTTATGATTAACAAAGCAACCTATTAATGAAAACCCCATTCTTTCTCTCAGTACTTATTTTTATATATTTCTCCCCTTCTCTGAGAATATTGCATTTTAACTCTCGTTATTAAACGAGCCTACTATGGCATGTCTCCTCTTGTTCTTCTTTTACTAACACAACACATATTGGTTAGTTGTTATATTGTTGTTTTTGTTGAAAACCAGTTTCTAGTTGTTTTTTGGGTTTTCTTTGCCTTTGTGCCTACTCTATGCCTCTCTCGGCCTTTCATAGCATACACAAATTACGGTTTTATTTACTTCGTACGTATGCCAATGACCATCTGTTGCCATCTTTAATTGCGTGCCTATCACTGTGTGTGTTTTTGTATATGTATGTGTTAGTTTAATGAACCGACAATTTTCTCCTCGTTGAAAAAGAAGAAGAAGAATAATGGAAGAAGCACAAACACCACAAGTGATCTCTCACAACAGAGTTGCCTAAAAATGGCAGTAGGGTTTGACATTTGGCGGGCACAAATAATGTAACTGTTGTGTTTTTGAAATGAGAGAAGAGGATGTTATGTCACCCTGTTGCCTACGTCATATTACACGAATCACCATTGCATGTGCAACACTGCACGGTGATCATATGTGCTGCTGACGTGTCAGGATTTGATTGGTTGATGCATTTTTGCAAATTAGCGATCCCTAACCGGCCTGGAAATTACTATCGCTTCATTCTCGAGAGTAGCGGCCGGCGAGATAAGACCGAATACGTAAACGAAAAGAAAAGGAGAAACAGAAAGAAAAATAAAGGAATTTTACCGGTGTTAGAGTGTTGTGTGAAAATAATAAAAAAAAACACTAATAAAGAGTGAAGAATATACATTCAAATGGATGCACTCTAAAAATAAAAAAGTGTGTGTTTTCGTGAATTAATATTGAAATTGTTCAATATTTTTCTTAACTGGTTGGGTTAATTTGTGCAAACCCAACAACAGTGAAAAGCCGCCACCGAGGCGCTGGGACTGTACCAGTGAATTACACGTGATGGTGCACGCGCAGTTGGGTAACGGTACAGTGAGTTTTTTTTTATGATACAACTAGTTTTGTTCGGGTATCAGTAAACCCACAAACATTCAATATAAAAAAAATAGTGCCGCCAAAAATTTATTAACCCAATTCAGATTTAACCAACTCAAAATTTCATCCGCCCACCAACTTTTTTGCAAAAATCAGTGCCATCTAAATCAAATAACCCAATTCATACCGAACACTCTCATAAGTCAGTACGCACCAACATTCCATAGCAAAAAACTAGTGCCGCCAAAATTTATTCGCCCAATTTAGACTTCACCAATTCGAAAATCAACCCGTCCACCAACATTCTATAAATAAAAGCTAGTGCAATCAAAATATAATAATTCCGGTTCAGACCTAAACATTTCGCAAAACAGTTCACACATCAACCTTCCATCAAAGAAATTTTGCACCACCATCAAATAAACCAGCCGTACCTCAGTTATCCCATAGCCCAGTACATACACAGCATTACATAGACAAATTCATACATCATCATCAATAGCCTGAAATTCAACCCACATCAACTGCCGTTATTAATTCAACTACCGTTAGCCCACATTTCGTCTCCTCAACATACCACCCTCAGCCGCGCAGCCTTCTGTTGTTGGATCCATTGAAATTGTAAGTAAACCCGTAGAAGACCTAACAGGAATCAAATTTATTGTAGACCGGATATTAGAAAGATGTCCTGAATTCTGATTGTCAGCAGTGTCGTCCTACCTTTACTATTAATTAATCATAATTTATATAGACGTTATTATACATACATTATTATACATTATTATTCGTTTATACATGCAATATTTTACAGTTTTATTTCATTTTTTTATATAATTATTGTAAAATACGTCTCGGCGATCTCCTCATTTCAAAATTAACCATATTCTGGTATATTTTTTTGATAAATACAGTCGTAGCGACGAAATCCTACATCACATCGAGCTCGATAGGTAAAGGAAATATATTTCATTCTGAATTTTAAATCATTTAAGCCCAAATATCTGGGGAAATCACCTGAGAGTATGTTCTAAATTCAGTCCTGGTATATTTCTTTAGTTTCCTGAAGCATATTTGTAAATCGTTCATTTATATTACATCATCCTAAGGTTTAAGAAAAACTTAATCTTGAATATAATTGAATCCAATTGTTATTAGATGTAACTACTTTAAGCTTATAGGGTATAACCTTTGAATAAACAATAAAAATGTTATCGAATTATGAATTTAAATGAAAGGATTGAACTATGAATTAATTGGTGAATAGAGAAAGGTAATGTAAAGGTAATTGGGCAGCCGTAATAAGTAATGGGGGTCCTCATGACTCAGAGGCCCATTAAGGGGGTTCAAGGTAGGAACCCATAGGGAGGGCAAAGGGTACCCAAACTCCACCTAGGGGTGCCAGCAACAACAACATCAGCAACCAAATACAATCCAGCAACAACAACAATCAAAAACAATACAACAACATGTTTTAACGGTTTTCTTGTAAAATGATATAATGTTATTTTTTTTTTTTTGTATGTGCTCAAGTGTACCTCCTCGCCGCTAGAGTTTTAGCCGGAGCCATCTTAGCAAAATACCATCAACACCTTGGTAATGAATAGAGGTCATACTTGCCAAGCCACATTACAAAATGGCGCCCAACGTAAAGGCAAATTTTAGGTTTTGGATCTAATGTGTCCATACCTGAAATTTTGCAATCATTTTGTTTTTTTAATCTGATTTTGATTATGAGTCTTGAGGTGTTGTTAAATTACAACACTCAAATGCAGTAAATTAATTCAGATGATCTACATCTCCAAACTCCATCTCGTTGAGAAATATTTTAGTCGTCTTGAAAAGTAGTTTTTATGACATTGTTCAATTTGTGACCAAAATATTATTATGAATTCATAACATTTTTATATTGGCAGTTGGTAATATATAGTCATTCACCGTCGATAAATTTATGATTGAGGTGTTATTAGCGATATTACCCAACGGCTTAATTAATATTATATCATTTTCGCAATTCCTTTTGGAAAAAATTTCCAGTTGTTGGAATTTTGGATGTTCTTTTGTTGTTGTTTATTTATTTTTACGGCTGACCCAAACCTTTTTACATTCGCCGATTATTGAATATAGTATAACATTATAGATCTTTCGGAAAATAGTTCCTGAAGTGAGAAGACTTTAGAATAGCAATTATATATAATGTTGATGTTTTTTTTTAATTTTTGATACTCTTTTGGAAAACTGACCTATAGAAACATTAATTCCAGTTTTGAGTTCTAGTTTGAGATTTTGTTGAATTGACTTTCGATTTTAATATGGATCCTGCAACGGGAGCATCGAAGAAAACCCGAGGTCCCATCACCCGTTCGAACAGTAAAGCTAGTGATGATGTTCAGGTTGATAATGTCCATACTTCTGATACTGATGATGAGGGTCAGGCCACAGCAATAGGAGGTGCTGAGGAAGCAAGTACTGTAACTCAGCCGTCATTTAGCCCGTTGACACAATTAGGTGGTAGCCTTCAAGAGTCTCGGAAATTGAGTAGTACAGGAGTAGTTGAAGCTTCGATGATAGAATTGTTTCGTAGTGAAATGAAAAATGCAGTAGCAGAGGCAGTCCAAGAGGCGCTGTCACAAACACCGAGTCCTACCGGTAATTCGAAAAGTACTTCACAAGATATCTCATGGCCACACGATTTACCACCACTTAACCCAGAGTCAGATAGAAGACAGGAAGTGCATGCTTTTCAGCCTCAGGATAGACCAACACAAGATTACAACTCTTATAAACCCAAATACCCATATCTTAGTAAATGGGGAGTGAAATTTGATGCAACTCCGAAAACTCCTCAAGTGGAGGATTTCATATTTAGGGTTGAAAGATTGCAAAAGAGCTACGGTTGTTCCGATAGAGAGTTGTTGGATGGATTTCACCATTTGCTTGAAGGCCGACCGAATCAATGGTATTGGGCACAAGTACGTCTTCATCCAAATATGAGCTGGACTAATCTCAAATTATCTATTATTCGAGAGTTTCAAAAATATCATTCAAATCTTGACGTTTTAAGACAAATGATGGACCGCAAGCAAGGTCGTGACGAATCGGCAACACAGTATATTGACGCGATAACTAATTTACGTAGCCAGTTGAGAAATTCCCTGCATGATTACGAGGTTATCGACATTATTAAGAACGGTTTAAAGCCAAAGGTGGCACACCTTATCTTTAGTTCCGAATGTTTTTCAGTAGAAGGTCTTCGTAACGAATGTAAGAAGGCTGAAGAATTTTTGGAAAGAGAATCATCCCAAAGGTTCAGGCCAACAGGAAACCCTCGTATGGTCAATGAAATCATTGGGAGTGATGTCGATGAAATTACAGAAGAGATAGACGAATTGAAGATTAGGTCAAGACCTATTGTCGCTTTAAAAACTGATAAATCTCGTTGTTGGAATTGTGGGCATAGTGGTCACGTTTTTAAGCAGTGCGACAGTTCGCAACGATCGCTGTTTTGCTTTAGATGCGGATCTCCTGGAGTTACTGCGCCACAATGCAACAATTGCAAAAAGAATATTCGTTTCTCTGATTCTTCCAAAGCCGAGTCTCGGTCTACACAAACTGTAGACTGACTAGCTACTAAAGATAGTTCCACATTTGTAGATCCACATGATTTAGACCATAATAATTTACCCGGACTTTCCAATTTACCAGTCAGAACCAAACCAGACTTATCTTTACCTTTCCATGTCCGCATGGCAAACTATATGAAGACCCGTAATCGTATTTTTAATTCCGAAATTTCTGCCAAACCCAAAAATTTCGTTTCTCCACGCATCATGAAAGCTCGTGAGCGTTATAATATCAGACGTCAGAGGAGACTGTCTATTTCTTCGGCTAATTTCTGCAATGTTTATTCCAATGATCCTCGACCATTTCGTGAAGTCTTAGTTAACGGCACTCCAGTATTAGCACTCTTTGACAGTGGGGCTTCTGTTACCTGTTTGGGTAAGAATTGTTTGTCTCTGATTGAAAAATTGAATTTGAAGGTCATTCCCATGCATAAATGTAGCGTCGGTACAGCAAACGGACAGCGAGTTTCGTGTTCAGGCAAAGTTCAAGTTGAGCTCAAGTACGATGGCCAGACGGAGACCATGGATATCTATTTAATTCCTGGTCTAGAGAATCCAATGTACTGCGGAGTTGATTTTTGGAGGAAATTTAATGTTGCGCCTAAACTTATACACAGTATAGAGATCAAGTCCGATATTCAAGATTCCGATATGCATGTGTTGACGCCAGATCAAGCAGCTATACTCGAGAAAGCTAAAGAAAGTTTCAAAGACTTTGAACAATTTGGTCTCGGGAAAACTGAGTTGGAATAACACATTATAGATACGGGGGACGCCGCCCCCATAAAACAGCGTCACTACCCAGTGTCTCCAGCTGTTGAGGCTTTGATATATTCGGAACTTGATCGCATGTTGAAGTTAGGCGTAATAGAACCCAGTACCAGTCCCTGGAATTCGCCAGTCACGCTCGTACGCCGAGGGGAAAAGAATAGGCTCTGCTTGGACGCGCGAAAGCTGAACGACGTCACGGTTAAAGATGCGTATCCTCTTCCTTTTATAGATGCTTTGCTAGGACGGTTACAGGATACGTATTATATCTCAAGTATTGACTTGAAAGACGCGTTTTGGCAAGTGCCCCTGGCAGCTGACAGCCGTCCGAAGACAGCGTTCACGGTCCCGGGAAGACCACATTATCAATTCACCGTCATGCCGTTTGGATTGTGTAACGCAGCCCAACGGTTATGTCGGTTAATGGATAAAGTGATCTCTCCGGAACTGAAGAACAAAGTTTTCGTGTACCTCGACGACCTTTTGGTTGTATCTCCAGATTTTGAAATCCATATCGATCTGTTGAGGAGGGTAGGCGAGATGTTGTCCAGGGCGAATTTGACCATAAACATTAAGAAGTCGAAATTTTGCCGCCGTCAATTGAGATACTTAGGATATATTGTCGGTGAGGGGAAATTGAAACCCGACCCTTCAAAGATCAATTCAATCACAGACATACCAGTACCGAAGAATACTCGCGAGGTCAGACGTTTCATAGGAATGGCATCATGGTTCAGGCGATTCATTCGGAATTACGCAGAAATTACATCTCCAATTACTCGTACCTTGAAGAAGGGTAAGCAATTTTCGTTTGATGAAGATGCTGTTGATGCCTTCAACCAATTAAAGTTAGCTCTTACTACAAGCCCTGTATTAAGCCATCCATTCTTTGACAAGCGATTTTACGTGCAGTGTGACGCGTCCAACCTAGGTGTCGGTGCAGTCTTGTACCAATTAGATGCTGAAGGTTTGGAACGACCCATCGCCTTTCACTCCGCTCAGTTATCCAAGGCTGAACGGAATTATAGCGTAACTGAGCGTGAGTGCTTAGCCGTTATTAGCGCCATCAAGAAGTTCAGGCCTTTTATTGAACTTATGCCGTTCACAGTGGTAACGGATCATAGCGCTCTAAAGTGGTTAATGGGTCAGAAGGACCTCAGTGGTCGATTGGCAAGATGGAGTCTCAAACTCCAAGGGTATAATTTTGATATACAGCACAGGAAAGG